CCTATATATAATACTTATGAAATGTACCAGGTTAATAGACCATTTTCTTATCACTGCAAGATCGTGTGTTATGCATGTAATCAAACGTAACAACGGGACTAGCAAAGGTCATAGCGATGTAGTAGCGTCAGGGCATTGTGCAAGATTCAACAAGTGTTTTGGTCTATTTGGTTGATATTAGGGCTCAGTATCTCAATGTCATATTCCCCTCAGAAAGATCGGTGCATTGAGCTATGAAAAAAAAGGAATGGAGGTTGAAAATCTAATTATTGAACATTCAGTTCATGCCTGTCTTACAATACCCAAGATCTCGCAGTGAGTGAATATTTCAACTCAAACATTCGATTATTTTTTTGCAGCCCATGGCAACTGCTGAAGGCCAGATCAGAAGAAGCGGTGGAAATGAAAGGCCATTTGTGTTATCCAGAGCATTCTTCGCAGGATCTCAGAGATCTGGTGAGTTAGATGACAAGCATTAAATATCAAAACTTTAGAAACAAGTGAATGTTCAGCATTTTTATGCGTTTGAGACTCCAGAAATTAATAACATTATAGAAAAGCTTTTTAAATATTTGCTAAATAGTAAAGAGTTTCTAAATATTTCAATGTTTTGTTACTGTCTATTGATGTTTCTCCAATTTTATTGATTAGGTGCTGTGTGGACTGGTGATAATTCAGCTGAATGGGGGCATCTAAAGATTTCAATACCTATGTTACTATCCATAAGCATAACTGGTGTCACATTTATTGGTGGTAAGCATCTGAGAAAATTTTCCTAATTTGAAATCTTTTGATCTGTAACAAATATGTACTTGGTGTTGGTTAGTAAATCTGAAACAAGTAAGCCATTCTACAGTAATTTATATTTATTTTCATTCTGAACAGCTGATGTTGGTGGCTTCTTCAAAAATCCTGAGTTAGAACTGTTGACCAGATGGTATCAGGTCAGTACTAGTATAAAACTACTATACACTGCAAGCTTATGGATTTAGTCACTAAAATTCAAAATGGGTTACTAATTATAAAAATTATTCTTCTTGGCGA